GGGGGGGGGGGGGGCGTCTGAGAAGTCACGTCCGTGTGAAGTCAGCCGAAGATTCGTAATAGCGATTTACGCAGGAAGACGAGATTGACGATGTGTCGCGGGTGGACGAGCGGGCGGTCGGGGGTGACGGTGAATAGTCATGTTCAGAAACGACGCGCGGAATATCCGGCGTCGTACAACTTACAGAGACTGTCGGTGCGTCCCGGCACGGAGTGCATTCCGGGCACGGACACGGAGACCGAGAGGGCCTCCTGATGCTTCAGCATCTGCCGGCGTCGCTGCCAGGTGAAGGTCCACGCCGCTATGATGGCGATCTGGGCGACGAGGAAGACGGTGCCGGCGACGATCGCCTCGCCCAGGTTGATGCACATGCCCATCGACGACGCTATGTCCTCGCTCTCGACGAATACGGTGTCCCTCGTCGCGGTGGTGGTGTTCGGCAACTTACCGTCACGCTCGAAGCCGAATTTGTCCGTGATCTGGATCGATTGCACCAGGAGTAGGTCCTCGCGGCTCTGAGCGGCGGCGGTGGAGCGACGGCGGCGGCGACGTCTGCCGTAGGAGATGACCGAGCGCAGCTCGCCGGTCGTTTCCTCCTGATCGCACTGCACGGGCTCGCAGGTCGGCATGCACGGGGTGACCAGGGCGCGGAACTGCACCACCTCCGAGCTCGGGAACTTGAAGGCGTCGAAGTGCGACAGCAGTATCTGCAACCGAAAAGGGCCGATGAGTGGGGTTCGCTGTGTTACGACTTGCTCGGCGAAATTCGCGCGGAAAGCGGAGAAGGGGAAGAGGGGGAATTACCGATGGGCAGGTGTGTACGGGTCAACGGTCACGAGAAACCGCGATTTAATGCCGTGACGATGGTAAACTCTCTCTCTCTCTCTCTCTCTCTCTCTCGGCAGTCGTCCACTTAAATGAACGTTTCGGACTAATTGGATTAGTCCGATCGAATTTGTTTGCCGAGGAATTCGCGCGCGGTCTGCGTTTAATTAGTTAAGAGCCCGTAGCTCGGCGTTTACTTGCGTGAAAATGCGACGGAGAGATTCGCCCTTCAACTTTCCGTTCGGCCTGCTCGTAAAAATGACGCTTTCGCTTCCTCTAATTTCGGTCGCGCAAATTTACTTCAGCAGCGGCGAGAAACTCGATACGTGGAATGTAATAAAACGTACTTCCTCGCCGCTCTCTCGGTCGGTCCCTTCCGACGGACTGCAAGTCACGTAACCAATTGTTTCACGCCGTTACCTGTCGTTCGAATAATACATAAACACCTGTGCCGAATGGCTCTTCGGTACGCGACGATTTCGCCGTTCGGGGCTTTTGCCGCGAGTTCGCTTACCGTTAGCGAGGCACCGATATTATGACATTTGCGGCGCGCATTCTTCGCCGCGTTTGTGCTTCTCTTTCACACTGTTCCTCTCTATTATCCCGGGTAGAAGCTGCGTGTATACGATTTCCGTGCTTTTTTCGTCGCGCGCAAGAAACGAATTAAAACGCCATCAGGCGTCGTTGTTAACCGAGAGAGCCGGTTCGCGTCGCATTCCGAGACGTCAAATTCATTTCTGACCTTTTCCCTTACCTTTCTTCCCCCGTCCTTCCCCCTCCACCCCTTTAAACACCTGGGAACTAACCGACGATAACAAATATAATCGGGCAGCCGCGAGAAGCGCCGCTTGTATTTCTCCCTCCTCTTCCGTTTTATTTTTTTCATTATTTCGCGCACACTCGTAATTCATACGCGACGTCGGTATCGTCGACTCAACTAAGCCGCGCCGCATTAATTCCGAAATTCCGACGTGGGCGGTCGTTCGTTCGCACATACGTACGTGGAATTCCGCGTGTGGGTGCGGAATAATGGTAATCTTATCCATATGTCGCTCCCACATAAATTTTCAACTGTATCCCAAAGTCGAGAACGAGGCAGGGCGACGGCGTGATTTTGCTCTCTCGCGGTGGCATCGCGAGCACCGCGAGGAAAGAAAGCGGGGCCCTTGGGCACGGAAGGGTGNGGGGGGGGAGAAAGAGGGTGGAGATATTACAGAATGCGGATGTCAAGGATCGCGTAACGCAGGGCGGGCCGTCGCACGCAATATGCGTAAGAGATCGCCTCAAAACTGGTTTTTCCCATCGCCCGGCAGCTGCGTCGAATTTTTCTTTTTTTCTTCTTCATTAGGTAAGGCCGTATAACGGCAATTACACGGGATTATGACATGAAAAACGGCCAGAGTACCTGCTTTTACGCGCGCCATTAGAGCGCGCATATATCCATCCTGGCAAATGGCGCGACCAAGCGCGCCGCTGTAATTCCTATTTTCTCGCGACAAGCGGACCTATCCGTTAAAACCTTGTTCCTTTTTTTCCCTCTCTCTCTTTTCGTTCACCACCTATCGCGGTTGTACCGCGCCGGCGGTGGTTTTCTTTTTCCGTCGTCGTCGCTGCCTCGGTACCGCGACGGTCCGAAGAGTCGATGCAGGAGATCGAAGTGTCTCTTCCTCACCGCCTCTCTCCTCCCATTCCTCCCTTTCTCTCTCGCCCTCCCGGCTGCCTTCTACGAAACGAACGGACGATAATCGCTCGTGTTCGCTCGTTAGGCCTGTCGACCGTGGAATAAGCCCGCGATGATCGCCCCAGCGAGCGAGATGGAGAAAGAGAGAGGCGGCCGCGTTGTTGGGCCGCGCTGATGTATTCATCGTGGTGGCCGTGCGCGTACAAACGCGTCATTGATTTCTCTTCATTCGGATCACTCGGCGAACGCGCAAGGTCACAGGGGGTCAGGGTTCTCTCCCGCAACGCGCTTCCTTCCTCCCCCCCGACTTATTCTCTTCTCCTTTCTCGAAACCGAGATAAAGACCCAGAACTCCAGCGGAAGGCTAGCGCCACGTTCACGCTCGCGCCTCTCTCTCTCTCTCTCTCTCTCTCTCTCGAGAACTGGTTTCTGCGGCGCATTACCAAGTTCATCGTATTTACACACCGAGCACGTATATTATCGGCGGGAAGTAAGACATTAAAATATGCTTCGTTCCACGTACAGCTTCATTTAGCAGTTTCTTTGCCTGGCGCGTCCAGCGGAACGAGCGGAACTTTATTAACCCGACGTCATCTCGCGCGGAAAGAGTAGCGGAAGGTCCGTTCTCCGCAGGGGAAAAGCGAGCGAGCGAACGGCGGAGAGGAAGAGCGTAAGTCCGCTCCGGTCGAAGGAAGAAGCGAGGCCGAGAGAGAGAAAGCGGCATAGGCCGCGAGATCGAGAGGGAAAGGGCGAAAAAGGAAGAAGAAAGAAGCGAAGTCGACATAGCCAGACGCCGGGGAAAGAAACGGGCGCGGGCTATGTATCCGCGGCATCTGGTGCGCGCCGACGATAAGTCTCCTTCAGCGGGAACGACGTCGGCCGATGGGAAAGGACGGGGAAGAGGGCCGTCATAAATGTACCGCGGCAGATCAGTCAGATCGTAAGGCTCGCGCCCGCGCTTTTACGGCGCGGCTCAACCTGATCCCCCTGTCTCTTCTTTATAAGTCGGCCGCGGGCTCCGTCCGCCGACGGCTCGCGCGTCCTTACCTACGTACGTACGAACCGTGTCCGAGGGTGTGAGTTTACGTACACACACGCGAGCGAGCGCGGCGTGTGGCGGTTGAGAAATGTTTCCAATTTCATTCAAACCGGTTGTGAAATGGAAGAGAGCCTCGTACCGGCGGCCCGGTTACGTGACGGACATACCGGAAAGCCGAACTTTTGGCAAATTTCTGGTTAGACGAGATACCATGTTCTCTCTCTCTCTCTCTCTCTCTCTCTCTCTCTCCTTCACCGACGTCGATCGTCTCGCTCTCTTTTCGTTCCGCGATTCCGGATTAATAAAATCAACGGCGGCGCCGCGGTCGATTTTCCCCTGCGACGCGTCGCTCGTTTATTTCACAGTCGCCCCCGTTGGCGCGTTCGACAGACTACCGCTTCCTATTATCGGAAACGGTATTAATGGCGCGAGCTGACAAGACACCTGAGCGTACGCGGAGGATATATGGAGCGCGGAGACTGTAGGCGAGACGTTTCGCGTTAATAGGGTAGAAATGAAAAAATCGCCGGTGTACCTTCGAACGAGTTGTCTCGAATGGTTTCTCGAACCGATGAGACTCGAACACACACGGGGATGAATCCGCGCGTTCTTTTAAGATACATGAGGCAGAAATCTTATCCTTCTCGAAACTCGATATCGTACGACAGGTACACTTCCTGATTTCCATCGAGCGTCTTCCCGCGAGTATGTTTATCGATTCGCATCGATCATTTCGCCGCGATATTGATTATTAGGCAATTAATTACCGTAATGATAGTTGGCACACCCGGTGAGTATTTTTTCGTGACCGAGGGAACGTTAAATACCGCCTAGACTTCCTGGTAATAATTAATTATCGGTCGTTTATTTACTCGCGCGACGCCCGGGAAGAAAGGAGGCTTAAAGCTTCAAGCTTTTCACTATCAGGAGGGACAAAGAATCGGCGGGTAACTTCCCACCTATCGGTACATCTCGGGTCAAACGGTGCCCCTCGTTTACCGAGAATCAATGTTGCGAACGTTTATTACCATATCGTAATGACGGTGTACTGTCGCAAACGACGGAGATTATTGATAGCTGATAGCGTGGCGTATATCAAAGTTGCTGTCGGGCGTTTTATCACTCACGCCGGCCGACAGGTAAATAGAGGCGCGTACACGGATGATATACGGCGCGAATGATTACGATGATGCAATTCCTCCAAGTTACGTTATCCCCCGGCAGATTAAAATTTGCATACGTCCGCGTTGCGCTTTCCCCGGCTCGCTCAACCGGGAGAAATAAAAGTTGAACTTGGCGAATCTCCTTTCCTCCTCGCTCGCCCTTCTCTCCCCGTCTCTCACTTTCCCGTTTTTGCCCGTTCGACAAAATTCACTGAGAGAGAGAGAGCGTCGGCGCAGCGTCTGGATGCGGTGGCGCGCGATTTCTATCTTCCTATCTGGCATTCGACAGGAAATGGGGTTAGCCCTCGTGATCAGCCGCGGTCAGGAAACGAGATCGAGCAGCACGGCGTGCACGTTCCAAACCGGAAAAGGGCGCCACGACGCTGATACAGGGAACGGCCAGGTGATATATCTCGACGGCCTCGGCGTCTTACGTACGTTGCCCGATATAAATTTACTCTTTGTTTCTACCACGACTGTTATTACTTTCTAATAAAGCGATATTGCGCCGCAGCGCGGCCGTGCTCGCACCGAGCAAATGATGTGGAACGACGAGTTAACGAGGCCGTGTGCCTCTTATTGCTCCACCTTCGCTCCGCCACTCGGTCCCTACCTGCCGCTATATCGTAACGATCCGTTTGTTTTACTCGTCGACAGCGTGAAGCATCAGCCACCGCGGTCCACGACCGCAGCTGGTCGAATGTTGCGCGAACACGGCGTGTAGCCAAAGAAAACCCTCCGCGATACTTCCACCGCGCTCTCCCGCCGGCCGATGCAAAAGAAAACACAATTGGAAAAGCCGCGGCTAAGATCGGGTAAGAACCGACCGCCGTCGAATTATCGGGGAACATTTTCACCGGTTCATTAATGCCGCGACGCGGCCACCTCTCGAACAGCGCGCGTCCCGAGCTAATATCGCGCGAGTGAAACGCACGCGTTGTAATTGGTCCATCGAGCTCGTACGCGCCGCGATCGCTTACCTATTAACCGTCCAAGAATTAATGTACTTCCGCTCTAATGCGTTTTCGCACTCCGGCTCACCCACGATACTTCACGCGTTACGAAAGGGAAAGAGAGAAAAGGAGAGAGAGTGAATCCGGGGAGAGAGTGGCGGCGACGAGAGTTGGATTAAACTGTTTCTTGTTTTTTTTTTTTTTTCGCGTTCTAATGGAACCGCCGAGTCGATTCCCGCGTTCCCTTATGCGGAAAACGCGGAAGTAATAATCGCCGCTCTACCGGCTCTGTTTCTTTTGAAGCGCACGGTGTTTCATTATTTAATGATCCATCTTCATGTATTCGAGGGAACGCCGGTTTTCCATCAGCCGCCATGCGTGTACGAAAATATCGACATACGGTAGATAGATTTCTCTTGAAAACTCACACAGTACCGGCGACTTCTATTCCCTCTCAGGCAAACTTGATATATTGAACTTATAATATTGAATATAATGAATATTATTCGTACACACACACAATATCTATTCGTCCGCTCTGATAGAAAATTATTATTTTTCTTTTTTTGTTAAAACCTGTTATTAACCGTATATGATTCCGAGTCGAAATTTTGGTCCCATGGTGATCCCGAAAATTTTCGTCGAGCTTGAAAGATCAATGAAGAATCGCGAGATGTAACGTTATATTATTTTGCTATTGATTGCTATTGATTGATTTGTAGCACCCTACTTTGATGTTACAGATGATTATTTAATGTTATTTTGTCCATATTTTCATTACAAAACACTTATTTCAGAATTTTCTAATATTTATTTATCTCAATATTCTATCTGCATATTATCCTTATTCTTAATTTCAACAATCAGTGTATTAATTTTGTAATTTAATTATCTACAGATGAAATATAAACGATGAGTAAATATGAAATAATTTAACAAAATTTAACCAGGGCAAATCTCATAATTTCCTTGTTTTCTTTTTATTGGCGTTGGAAATATATGAAAAGTATCTAGCTCTATGTACGTGTGTGTGAATATATCTGTATATGTGTATCTATATAATAATATATGGATGTATCGATGCCTGCGTCTTAGCGTCCTGGCTTCTCGATCTACTATCCTGCTCCTGGCTGTTCCGTTATGGCCCTCAGGATACCAATTTCTGACATTCGCATATATACGAATCAATCGGGGAATCGCGCGTTAATTAACGCAATATTGATGAATCGGATTAAATATTTCAAAAGCCGACATTTTGTGTAAATACAGTAACATAGTATTCGGTAACGGGAAAATACGCGCATCACGTGACGATATTGAAGCAATAAACAAAAAGTGCTACGTCATCCCGCGTCGTCCTTTCAACTGCCACCGCCCCGCCATTGAATGGTCGGACGATGACAACAATCAAAACATTGCGTACCTTTAAGGCGGTCAAACCTACGTGCGTGTTTTTCCGAGTGTTTCCATTACGTTTCGAATCGGCGAACGATACTCATATCGCCGACATGTGTATCGGCGTATCATTATATAGTTATCATTCACGTCGGGCGGATTGTAATATTTTGTCGATTGTTGAGATATCTAATCGTACTCTCATCGGTGGCGCGTTATTTAACACGTGTGTGTCTCGATTAAATCGTATCTATGCGAGTGTCAGTATTACGACGGAGCAGTCAGGATGCCGAGATGCGAGCAACGATTCATCATATATTTTTAGATATGTTAAATTATTGGTTATATAGGAGACTTCCGTTTTTGATGGATGTTTCACAGACTTACCGAGATATATAAAGGAATACCCGAGTCGAAATTTAGACCGGCGTTCGTAGTCTGTCATCATTCGACGAGTAATTATAGCTTCATTAATCTCCGATTATTCGTCAATCTGTATATATCTATATTTATTACGTTATTTCATACAAGAAATATTTATCCAAATGACCGAATAACGGTCCATAAATTTAAATCTGTAATTAATTATGATTTCAATCAAAGATGGTAAATAATTTATACCTGTGAATACCGGACTAAGAATTTCATTTGAATTTCGCAAATGCTGATTTTTATGTCTAATAATGCTTCGTGGGCTGTGAATACTACCTTGTTTACAGTGCTTTGTTATGCTATCTTGTTTGTCAGTGCTTTACTTCACTGTTGTTTATCTTTCAAAAGTTGAATTTCAAGTTTGTTATTGTACGGAATCCAAATGAAAATCTCTGTTGGTAAATAGTATTTTATGAGACTCTCAATTTTTATCTTTGCCTTTACAGCTTTTTCACAATCAGTTCTTTTGAAAGCTTTTAACCTTTCGATCGAAACTTCCAACGTCAAAAATGAAAAGAGATTGCAAGAATTCATTGTTCTTTTTACTCATTTACCCTTATTATTTGCCCATATTAATTATTTAATATTTGCTCTATGTAATTAATACATTGCTAGTTGAAATTTAGAATATCGATAATAAAATATCGAGACAATGAATTATATGATAATTCTGAGGTAAGCTTTTCCTTGAAACGTCGCCATGCAGAAAGTAGCAGTAATCATTTGCAGCATCAAGGTATGGCAATAATACAGCCTGTACACGGAGAAGAAAAAAGTTCCTTTGGATTTAGCACATATTTGAATTGGGTTTGTTATATAAATAAATAACTTAATTGAATATCAAATATGATTTTATTTGAATGAAAATGTTATGTCACGAAAGTAAACCATGTTTGATAGAAAAAAAAACCAGTATCATTTAGAGGAAATTATATTTGTTTTTCGACAAAAATATTTATTCGACTATATATTAAATATTGCTCCACTGAAAGAAAAAGAAATTATTTAATATTTTTCTAACATAGTGTTACTTCGTTCAAATAATTCATTGATTGCAACAACCATTGTAATTTTTGAATGAAAATACAAAAGAAATATGTTATCTTGCGTAAAGATATTGTTTGAGAAACCGAACAATCCTATTTGTTGGAACAAACATTCGTTCGGGAAGACAAATTTACTTCAATTAGGGGAATTTGATCAAATCCATAGAAATCTTGTCCTCTATGTACAATATCATATCTGGAGATTCTGCATTGGTTCTTCAAGTTCGACGGAATTTGCGGGATCGATGTAGAAGCGAAATTTCGACTCGGGGTGGAACATTCGACGATCCATTCCCACGGATTTGCGAAGGCCGTCGAAGCGAACATTCAAATGGAAATTAAACGCGTCGAGATATCACATCGAGGCGCGCCGATGATAATGCCGGATTTTGCTTTCGAGCTCCTAACCAAGCGATCGGAGAGATAAACTCTACGTTGCCTTACGTGGAACATGCGAAAGTAATGATCGTAGCCAGAGATGGGCCCGCGTGCCAGTCGTGTCACGGCACGTCATCGGCAAGACGGCGGCGCATCATCGACGCGACCTATTACAGGTCGGGCAAATTGCTTCCCGTCGTAAAATCCGTCCGAGTGATTGATTAGCATGAAGTCGGATCGGCTGGTTGACTCGTGCCTCGCTTCCGCCCGCGCGCTCTTTTCCCACTCGCTTATGCCGCCTCAACATTCGCAGCGTCGAGTCTCGTGCGCGTCTCCCACATGATCATCGTCAACGAGGAAGAGGCGGAGGACGGGCGTTGACGTTATATCGGCGTCAATCAAATCCCGACGACCTTGTCGCCCTCGGTGATTTGGCCGCCAAATTAGAATCAATATTTATCTCCGCGCCCGCTGTTGTCGCGCCCTCGAGGCAGCCACGCGCGGTATATCGCGTACCCCGGCCGCGGTGTTGCGAACATGACGGTTTACGCTCATGGACAGCTTTTCCCTGATTGCGTTCGCTGGTACTTCGCACCCGTTTACGGCGCTGCGCGCGAGAGAGATGATCGAGCACCACGACGTTCTCGTTAGAACAGTGCCGAGAGGGACGTTTAGTGCGATTACGCTCGCTTCTTCGGAAATAGTTTTCCACCGCCGGGAGCGATGCCGTTGATACAGGAAAACCGGATGGAAGATGTGTTACCACCGCTCGTTTATTCGTTCGGCCACTCGCGAGAAAACGATCTTCGGTTATCCGCCCGTCGAGCGAGTTTCACGCTGGGGATTCGTGGTGATGATCGAGGAATAATAATGAGAGACGGAAAAGCAAAGAGGAGACTCACCTTGCCGGTGGTGGCCGACTTGTAGAGGGGTCCCATGATAACGTGGTCGGTGGGGCAGCCGTCGGAGTCGATCAGGACGATCTCGCTGGAGTCCACGCCGTCCATGGCGACCAGCTCGCGGACGAAGATCTCGTAGGGGCTGTTGGGGTCGAGGATCTCGAATTTGAGCGCCAAGGGGTCGCCGACCTCGGCCGAGGGGATCGCCTCGTTGCCGCTGCGATCGGTGATTTTCATGGCGACGTTCGGCGAGTCGACGATCACTTCCTCCGAGAGGGCGGGCGTGATGTCGCCGTGCACACCGAGATCGACCTCGTTGGAGACGGTCTTGTTGGTGAGGTCGTACTGGCAAGTCACGGCCAGGCCCAAGTCGGAACTGGTGACGATCGTGTCGTGGTGCTGGATCACCACGTCGTTCAGGTAACGGCCGAGACCCTGTTGCCTGATGTTGCACTCGAGATCGTCGTAGGCCATACGCAGCTCGAACTCGAGGGCGCCCTTCACGTCCTGCACGCACGAGTTCGGCGAACCCTTCGCGTACACCTTGCCGTAGAAGAGCTTGCTGGTCTGAATTCGAGTCACCATGTCGCCGGCGCGACAATCGATGGTCACGTTGTAGCAGGAGCTCAGTTCGTACGTGGACGCTTCCGGCACGTCGAGATAGGGTTCCTGAAATGATCGTTTGTTTCCGGCCCGTTACTCATTGTTGCTCTCGCGGGCGACGCGTCGCGCATTAATGCGATTTGTCGCGGTATTAATTTGGAATTACAGCGCCGCGGTAGAGGGTGATAAATTTCGCGGAGGAGGGCGAGAGCGCGGATGTTTCGCAATTAAACTTCGCGAAGCCGCGATCCATCGATTATTCTTTTCCGTTTTGTTCACTTCACGGCTGCTGCGCTTGATTTTGACCCGGGGCTTGAAACAAAAACTCCGCGGAGAATTTATGGGCGAGAATCGCAGGTCCGCGGCGAAAAGAGCGCGTCGAAATACCCGCAACGTATTGATCTTCGGTGATATAGTTCGCGCGGCAATTAATATGTTGCGAAACTCAATACGCGAACAAAGAGAAAACGGGGACGCGCGTAGGTGGACGGCTAGTCGCAATTTACACCGGGAAATACCGGCGGAGGTTTCTTTCAACGCGATTTTTCACGCCGATGCTACGGCTAACGCGAAAAACGCGGGCATTTTATACGATCGCGCCTCGCGCGATTTTCCCTCTGATATTGTATACCAATGCAATAATAATAATAATTTATTTGCGCAAATGATTAAGCACACTCTTTATTTTCAGCATCAAAAGCACCGCATATTCCTGTTTATCCGGCACGATACATCAATATCCAATAATTATCAATCGCGGGACGTTCTCTGCATACACATGCACTCGCGTTTTCATTTGTATCGAACAGAGTGATAATCCGCTCTGATTCACGCATTTGTCACTCCCAAAGAATTATTTGAAATCACTTTACATCACGCTATTTATCGCTCCGCGTGTTTCGGTGCTCGTGCTCGAGGGGAGGAAGGAGGGGGAGAGAGAGAGAGAGAGAGAGAGAGAGAGCAGCCTCCGATGAAATAAATTAATCGCGAATATTGCGCCGATAAATACTCTTGACGTTTCGTGCTATCTCTACAGTTAATAATTTGTGTATTTGCGGAGATGCCGCTGATGCTTGCACAACCGTCCAATCGCGCGCTCTCCGCGCACTGTGTTCGCGCGCGAACACGATCGTTCTTCCATTATGCATATTATTTGCGCATCTCCGACTGAATGATCGCGGAACCCGTATGGTCGACGAACTCGTCGCGTATCGCCACGTCGGAGCGATATTTCGCTTCGCTTGGCATCGCATAGGTATCTCATTATAGCAATTACTCGTACGAGGTGTATCGGCGAGAGGGTGAAAGGAAGGGGGACGTTCGTGTCGCTCGGGGATCAGTTTTCACGGCTGTACCGCACCCGTCGGCTGCAGTAGCGCGCCGTAAAAAGCACGGATAATCGAATAGCCCCGACGAATAGCCCGATGCTCGCTAAATCTTTCTTTTGATTTTCTCCCGGGCCACCGAGATAGAGTGCAATTCGCATTCGGACGAGCCAGTCGCCGCGGAGAGCGCCGCCTTCGGAAACCCAATAGGGGAAAGCCGTGTCTGCGATGGAAACTCGATTTTCCGCGAATGCGCCCTCGGTGGATTGTTCAAGTCGGTTTGCATGTCTGCGAGCGTAATCGCGTTTAGAGAAAATCCCCACTGGCCCTTTCAAGAATCCGCACCGCTCGCGGGAAGGCGAAACAAGGTGGCCGGCCGGGTTCTGTTTTAAACGCTCACGACGAATTGAATCACGCGCCGGCGTTTCAGCGAGTAAATCGGAATGCAATAGTTATATTTCTCGCGAAGCCTCCCGATTTGTCCAAGAGTTTCTCGTCCGCTCGGTCTTTCTCTCTCTCTCTCTCTCTTTCTTTACCGTCGAATTTTTAAATGCTGGTTCATAGCAGCGCTATTTATTCGAAATATGGAAGCGTCCCGAAGGAATACGTGGTTTTTCTCACCTGAATGTCGGAGAGGGTGGCACGAGAGTGATGGCTGAGACGGCAGACCATGTCGCCGGTGTCGCCGTAATCATACGAGTGGCAACGGAACGGCGAGTTTAAGCACAATTCACGGCACTCATCAGACGTACCAACGTCCTGGTAAACCGAGTCCACGGTCTTGAGGATGCGGCCGGCCAGCTTCTTGAATTCGCAAAGTTTCACCGGCTCCTCCACGCAATGGTTCTCCAAATAATCCACCCCCTTCGCCGTCTGAAAGGCGCTCGAGCCAGCGACCGTCAACCGATCCATGTCCGAAAGTTCGCATTGCTTGGTGGCGTTGGCGTAATTAGCGGATCTGAAACCCAAAGGAAAATTCCCGTAAAGAATCCGTCGCGTATAGAAGGTGAATCACCCATCACTGATTATGCTACTTTGCTACCGGGTGGCGGGAAAGAAAATCCGGGGGAAAAAATGTTACACTGAAAAAAGAAGGGCTGGAATCAAGTGAACGTAATTATCGGTTTTTCAGCCTCTTAAAGTAGTAGCCTCTCAAGTAATATTTTTATCAATTATTAACGCCTTGATTTGCAAATAAATTGCTGAATGTAACTGCAATATGGGTCTAAATTTCAGAGAGTGCTTACTAGAATTGTGTAATACTTCTTTTCTATTGAAGAAACCTAGTGTTTCTTTTCTTAATCTAGATTTTTCTGCGCAATGAGTATTTTCCAAAAATAAATTCTGATATTCTCAATATTATGAATTTAATGCTTGTCATAATTATTCCAATGCATGCAAGTAAATGTCTACTTATGTGCGAATGAAATATGTTAATTTATATATAATCTATTGTATGTCTACGATTTTAGTAAGTATATATCAAGGAGTGCCGGAGCTCTACTTTAACTATTTTACTTGAACGGTAGCACTTCTTTTTTCAGTGTAAATTATCGCCTCCATAAAACCGTCACGTGAACGGTGCATAATTCCAATAATATTCCCATCATCTCGTGAAATAATCTCGGATTTGTTTTATATTATTTTCTTGCTAAAGAAGTAATCGTTAATTGATTATGAATTACCCTGAATAAGTTTCTCGGGCACGCGGCAAATTTGCGACGCGTGACGACAATTACCTTCGACAAAAAGTAACGGCGCAGGCTTAATTAAAAGGCAAAACTGCTAATCAGGAGTTTGAAACGTCTCACAAGAGTACTAGCGGTATATCAGTTGCTGAGTTTCCTGTGCGTAGTCGGAGAAATAGAAAGCGCGTCGTTCAGAGGTTAAACGCGAAAGAAGGGGAGCGCAACCCAGTCGTCATGCACGACGTCCCTCGTCGCGGTAAAAACACACGAGGGTACGCACGTGCTACTACCGGTTGACGACCGCTCGTTGGCGTGTCCCGTGTTAATCTCAGAGGGCGAGTTATAAGCGAAACACCCACGCACGGGCAAAGCCGAGCGCTCCGCGAGTTTCGTTTCCAAAGAGGCGAGCCGCGAAAGAGACGCCGGAATAATTACTTTCCGCCGCGCTTTACTACGCTGTATATAATGCGTGGTTAATGACACTAAACCCGGAGCCGAGCGGCGAACAATTAAGAAAACGTTAATTTACTGACGCTCGCGGGCCGCAGCGTACCCTCACTTCTCTCGTCTACGACACGCCTACGACGTGAATCGCAGATCGCGATCGCAACCGTGGTTGCGTGTCGAGGCGCAAGATACGCGTGACGACGCAACTTTCCCAGCGCGTTTAGGGGATGTTACAGCCGTCGATGAGCTCGATAAGCGTCGATAACGGGAAAAATATTGTGGCAAAAATTTACCACCAAATTTTGTAACGTCGGACCATACTACCAGAATTCTGACTGAAATTGTTATGTGTGTTGTAACAACGAAGTACATCACTAAAGATTGCAACATACATGATAATTTCAATTGTAACTCCACTATGGCCCGATATTACAAAATTTTGCAGTAATTTTAACCATAATTTTTTTTCCGTTTAGAGATGATCCTCGAAATGTTATGTGTGTGTATATATTATTATATATAAACATTGACACGATCACGCTATTCTTTTTGTATATATACAGGATGTCTCAGCATAAGAACACTTAAATATTTCCTTTACTTTTGAAAAATATTTAAGGCAAAATTTGGATAGAGTTTCGAAAGAGGAATACCGTGGGAGGAAAATTTTTTACGGTAATTTTTTCGACTTCTTTTACTTGCTCATATCTTTAAAAACAAAGAAGATATTTAGGCGTTCTTCTTATGTGGGGACACCCTGTATATCTTGTGTAAACGTGAGTGCGATATAAATGTGAATACGATGAATATGTACTACTCTATTACCATATTTAATAGAGAATCTAACCAGGATATATAAAAATTTTTTTGCAAACTCTTCGTGTCTTCTTGAGTCTCTGAATTTAATTGGAAAGCTATAGAAATGTTCGTTGACAGTTTCCTGATTGGAACTTTCACATGTTCAGTACGTACAAGCTGCAGGATTTCTGTATCGGGTAAATATTTACGCTAATTGATAGTTAGAGATGTGAAATTTTGAATTTCGAATTTTAAATTAAAAATTTTTAATTTGAAATTTTTAATTTAAAATTTTATATATTTTTAAAAAATTTTTAATCTTTACGTTTCTAACTTTGAAATTTTTAATTATTTTCGCTACATACTGAACAATGCCTCCGATTTATATTCGTGCGTACGTTTATTAAAGCATTCGTAATTCTGTGCAACTAATAAAACGTAAACTTTGTTGGAAAAATCACTATTCTGTCGCTAAAGTTTTCAAATATCGTATTCTCCTTAAATTTCAGATCTTAATGAACGCAGCTTCAAAAGGCTCGAATATCAGCCATCGACAAATATATGCACGGTCATGCATCTATCCATCCACCTAATTATCTATCCATCTATCTATAAAGTGAAATAATTACGGACATCTGGATGATGGAGTGACGTTTGCATTAACGTTTCAAGCGGTACATAAACGGTACATGATACGATGACATCCATGAGCGATTGGTACTCGAATTTGCGAAATTCCTGTTTAATCCAATTACGCGATTAGTTAATGGTCCCGTAATTTATTTTAATTAGCCTACGACAGCGCGGCGCTGGGAATGGGAGGGGGACAGGGGATTTCGGTCCGCGAAACGTAAGAGCGCGGGGATCAATGTTCCCGTAATCGCGAATAATTCTTCCGTCGCACCGATACGTGATTTTTTTATCAATTTCGAGGATCGATGGGTGTTCCGGTCTGCCGAATATGACAGAAGATCCGTATCGCGGAACTGCGGGATTATTTGTGGTTATAAAAATATTTATCTGGGACATGCATTGCGTCGGGTGTGCATCGTTTACACGCGTATCCACACGGTGACATACATACGTTGCTGGACCGTTCCGTAAATATTGGTGCTTCGACTTCATGCATATCGCCGACAAATGATAGTAGTTTATTGCGTATACGCATAGGACATTCAACGGTATACGTTATTATACTTTTTATCGAGACTCTCTCTCTCTCTCTCTCTCTCTCTATGTCAAGTTACGGCGTCTCGTACGCGAATACAACTCGCTCTCGTAATAACGGATTATTTCGCGTGGTCGCTTTATGACTTTATAAGAGCGCGACTTGTCATAAATCTCTAAAACGTGGCTGTCTAAAAACCGGGTAATTTCGGAGAATTATACGTGACCGACACGAGCGTAGTTTGTGATGGAGATGATTTTTACCGGAGAAAATTGTAATTCGCGTAATGTTTTATGTTAAATTACTGCCCCCATTTAGTAGCATCTTCCATTCTGTAGCGCGAAGCAACGTCCGATACCGGATCTTTTTATCAAAATGAACGAGAGCACGTTTCTTCGAGGGACTGCTTATGACGCGTTTGCGCGATCTTGTAATTTCGTAGATCGCGATCGCGAGGCGGAAAGGGTACAAAGCAGGGACGTAGAACGACGCGGTCCATTAGAACGCGCACGTGAGCGCATTCTCCGTCGGAACCGCAACTTCCTTCGTTCGCCTCGTTCGCGTCGGCGGCACACACGCGTGTCCGACGCATGCAATATGCTCTCGAGACCGGGGAATCCGAAGAAATCGCGGCCTTTTGTATCTCGAGATCACGTCTTCACCGGCAGCCGCTCGAGAATCCGGGATTAGATATTCCTCGCGTTGGACATTCCCGAGATAATCATTAGGAACATTTGCCGGCTCGGCCGATATTCCGAAATCATTATCATCCTTTTCTCCTTCGGCGCATGAGAGTCGGCGATGACAATGGTGATTAATCTTTAGTAATCGCGCGGATGACTAGTGTCATCCATGCACACTAAAGTGTATTTTCCAAAAAATATTAATAAGCATTCATCTCGTATCTTCATATCTGTCAGGGACTGTGCTCTCGTGCATTGCTGAGAATTGAAAATAACTCGCGCCTGAGAGCGCGGGGCCATTGTTTTCTCTGCGAGAAAGCGCGCAAGACCGGGACCAAACATCGTGCCGAACATGCATAAATTGGACGTGTCCATAATGCAATAATATATGTTATATACAGAAAAAAATTAGTATCGAAATTCGACTTATATTCTTATATATAAGCAGGATTATATAATTTTATGTGAGAATAAAATTTGCTCATACATGACAAAATTCTATATAGTTCTACTAAAAATATATTCTGGTTATTCAAGAATAATTTTTATGAATTGAGAGGAAGAAATATTAGAGAGAATGATATCTTCAGACTGATATACAATTCTAAGCTTGACGATATCGTTCTTTCTATCCAATATTTTTCCTTTCAATTCATGAAAATTATTCCACAATAATAAGAATATGATATTTTTAGTGGGGAACCATATAGAATTTCTTCATATACAAGCAAGCTTTACCTTACCGTATAAGATATCATTGTTTATATATAGGCACAAATGGCAGAAAAATTCAAATCTTGCGTGAATCTTGGGACACCCTATATAAGAATATGAATCTTGTATTGATACTATTTTCTTTCCATATATTTCCCTCCAAAATGATAGTTACATTATTTATACATCGCATCTTATAGTGTTTGAACGGATCATTTTCAATACAATGTTGATCTCCTCGTAACCCGTTTCCGATTTATTTTCATTCCTAAATTGAGAAAACTAAGTAAGAATGTTCCTAATTCCTAATTTTAAATCAGATCTTATTGCATTTCCACATGAAGAAATATTTTTACTTTCTAAAGCGATACTGTTCAGCTCGATTTAGCTGAAAGTATAAATTAAAAATGGAGGAGAACTTGTCGTTCACGCGGACCATTCGCGTTACATTTAGGTACGC